GCTGTTGCCGGCATACCGTGCCTGGGGATGCGCTGTGGTTGATCCGGTTCCTTCGTTCCCTGTTTTCAGGGCTCGGGTCTCCCGGGTCGTCCGCAGTGTTTTCCTTCTTACTGCGGTCTGTCTTTGCGCCCGTGCTGTTCAGACGTTTGCAGCAATTGCTGCTGTGTTGGTGACGTCTCGGGCTCATTTCGGGCGCAGGGAATTGTGGGTCGCACAGGTTTTTGGCCGCCCATCCATGTGTGCGTCTGTTCTTGGGCGTTCTTGTTGCCTTGGGTCGCAGGTTTGCGACCGGTTGTCTTGGCTTTGCGTTGCAGAGTTTGTGGCGGCCGCCTCCCGGGTTAGCCCTTTCTTTTCCTTCTCTTTGGGTATGAAGCTCCAGGGAGCCGTAGGGGCTCCCCACAGAAAACCAGCGTTGAATGTAATGAAACGCCATTTTCTGGGTGAGCCCCGGAGGCTCCCTGGAAACCCTCCCTCCCACCGGTCGGCGGTTTTTTCGCGTTGGTTGACGCTTAGCTTCCGAACTGGAGCTTGGCACCCGGCGCGGTAGGTCCGGGGCTCCCCCCTCCCCCTCCCGGGGTGGGGAGGGCTGCGCGGACGATCGGCGCGGCAGTAAAGTGTGATGTTTGCTTGTTTGCTTGTTTCCTTGGGATTGTAGGGAGTTTTCTACCTCTCTGTTCGGTTTTTGTTGTAGTTTCTTACCATGTGAGAACTCTATCAACATCAGAGGCCCGAGACTGTTCAACACGCTTCCACTACACATAAGGGGCATAACTGGCCAACCCCTCACAGTGTTCAAGAGAGAACTGGATAAGCCAAAGGATACCTGATCAACCAGGCTGTGACTCATACGTCAGGCTGCGAGCAGCCGCGTCTAACAGCCTGGTTGATCAGTCCAGCAACCAGGAGGCCTGGTCGACGACCGGGCCGCGGGGAAACTAAGCCCCGGAAGCACCTCAAGGTAGCCTCAAGGTATGTGGGGTTTGTTTTGTTACGCCTACCTTTCTGGGTGCCTAACCCCGGTCGATGGCAGATAAGGAAAACCCCCAACCATATGGGGTTTTCCAGGGCCATTGCTCCCTGAAACCTCTCTGAAGGGGCCAGGTTCTGGCGCTGGTCCCTGGTAGGTCTGAACTCCTTAGCTAATGTCCCGGTCTAACATAACACACATTAGCCCGATAAGCTCCAGGGAGCCTCCGGGGCTCACCCAGAAAATGGCGTTTCATTACATTCAACGCTGGTTTTTTGCACTGACGGCTAGATCTAAAAGACCAGTGACATTTTATAGGAGAAGACCCCTCTGTAGCTGTCCTTTGCTAAGTGTACTGGCATCTTTGGGCCATTATAGATACACCAGGCCTCATTAGACAAGCTCTGCTTACTGGGAGCAAGTTCCATTTCACACTGATTTTTTCACTCTATGGGGCAGTGAGTGAGTGCCAGAGGATGGATTTCAAGCCTAATCTGGGATCAATTTAAATACACTTGAAATGTGCTTGAAGTGATCAAATTCCTTATCCATGATTCGATCATACTTGTGTTGGGTAGCACACAGATCTTAATCTTTTAGTTCAGAATAACATCTTTGTATTCACCTATCTCGTATGATTGATTGATAAACGAGGAAATCGGATTTGTACCTTGGAGGGTGAACTCTGCAGTGGTGATAAAGCTTCGGTGGATGCTTTGTCACTGCTGCATGTGCCTCTTTGAGGGAGGCCAGACTCTGATCACACCGGTAAGGCTATAGAACCTCATAGCTGATGTGACCTAATAGATGGGGACCATCTATTAGGTCACATCAGCCCCACAGCACTGTGCGGGTGTTCGCGGCGGTGTGGTTTGCTCTTCGGAGGATTCGAGTCACCCGCGGGTCAACGATCCGGCTCCATTCGGACAGCTCTCCAGTGGTTCATTGTCTGAACCGGGGAGGTTCGCTGCGGTCCTTGGCTCATTGACGCGGGTCACTTCGGGTGACTCGTCTGCTGAGTTCTCGGGGTTTGGTTCTCCTGGCAGTTCACATGCGAGGAGTGTCCAACGTCTTGGCCAACAGCCTGTCTTGTTTCGTTTCCCTCTCCACGGAATGGATGGTCGACGCCGACTCCTTCCATTGGCTTTGCCAGATGCTTGGACGCCCCGAGGTGGACCTCTTCGTGTCGGCGTGGTCGAGGCACCTTCCCCTGTATGTGGCGCCCTTTCCCGACTGTGAGGCCGTCGGGGTCAATGCCTTTCGTCAGGACTGGTCGAGGTGGGGGTTCCTGTACCTCTTTTCCCTGGTTCAGCTGTTGCTTCAGGTTCTGACTCGCTTAGAGTCTTACCAGGAAAGAGTTGTCCTCTTGGCCCCTTGGTGGCTGGCCCAGCTGTGGTTTCAGGCGCTGCTTGCTCGGTGTCCGAACCCGGAGATTTTTCCGCGGCTCCGCCTCTTCCAGCTTCCCAGTATGTCATGTGGCTGGTTCGATCTTCTCCTCGAGTCTTCGCGTATCGTATTTTTGACTTGAGTTTATCATCATCTCTATGGTGATCAGGTGGCTTCCTTATTAGTGTCCCACCTATGGGCTTCGTCTCGGCGGCAGTATTCCTGGCGGTCCTTCCGGTTCTCCTTATGTCTTCGTCGTTGTACTTCGCTTTCTGTTATGGTGGTGTTGTCCTTTCTCTCTTGGTTGTTCCAGGACCGTCTTCTTATGCCTAACACTGTCACTTCGTATCGTGCGGCGCTGGCGGAGCCGCTTCAGCTTGCTTTTGGTATTGATGTCACATCTGCGCCGTTTTGCAAGCTGTCTCGGGCGGTGTTTCACCTCTGGCCTGCTCATGTGCCGCCTGAGCCGACCTGGTCTTTGGACAGAGTGCTCTCTTTTCTTTCTTCCTTCTCCTCATTTTGTTGTGGCACTTTCAATTCCGGATTGTTTTTTGAAGGCTCCTTTATTGTTGGCATTGGCCTCTGGGGGTCGGGTGGGTGAGCTTCATGCTCTCCTCCGGTGCAGAGGTTTCTGCTCCTTCGGTCGGAGTGATCGTTTTGTTCGTCTGCAGCCTTCTCCTTCTTTTCTGGCAAAGAATGGGACTGCTGCATTCCAGAAGGGCCCTTGGGTTGTTGATGCTTGGTTGGCTCGACCGAGGGTGCATCATGTTTTGTGTCTGGTTGCGGCTCTTCGCCGTTATTTGCGTGCCATGGCTTCTGTGTCCGTGGATGCTCTTTGGGTTGATCCGGTTTCCCTTCTTCCCTGTTCGAAGGTGCGGGTCTCCCAGGTCGTCCGCGGGGTTATTAAGGCTAGCCAGCCTGCGGTCTATTCACGTGCCCACGACGTCTGCAAGTTCGCGGCTCTTGCCGCCGTCTTTGGCAATATGTCCTGGGCTGACATTCGGGCGCTGGGATTTTGGCGGTCGAATAGGGTCCTGGCTGCTCGTTACCTTGTGAACGTTCCTGGGCCCGGTCGGGCCTGTGTCGCTTTGGGTCGGCGGATGCAGCCAGTTGTCTCGACTTCGGGTTGAGGCGAAAGCAGCAACTGCCTCCCGGGTAAGTCCCATTCTTTTCCTCTGTGGGTAGTTAGCCCCAGGGGAGCCATAGGGGCTCCCTCCAGAAAACAAGCGTTGAATGTAATGAAACGCCATTATCTGGGCGAGTCCCGGAGGCTCCCCAGCATCCCTCCCTCCCTCCGGTCGGCATTTTTTTTCGCGTGTTTTTGACATCCATCCTCAGAACTGGGGTGTGGATCGCCGGCGAGGTAGGTCTGGGGCTGCCCCTTCTCCCTCCCAGGAAGGGGGGGGGGGCTGCGCAGACAGCGGCGTGACGATGGATGACATCATACTAGTTTGCTCGTTTTTGTTTGGGGAGTTTTTATCCACTCGTTCGGCTTTTGGTTGCAATTTTCACCAGAATAGGGGTTTGTTTTGGGACGCCTACCTCTCTGGGTGCCTAACCCGATCGATGGCAGACATAGAATGCTTCCAATTACACAGTGGTTTTTATAGGCCATTGCTCCCCTTGCCTCTCTAGAGGGGGCCAGGTTCTGGCTCGTGGTCCCCTGTAGGCCCATAAGAACTCCATACACATGACAGATGCCAAAGTCTGACATTAGCATATCAGCCTAGTAAGCTCCGGGGAACCTCCCGGACTCGCCCAGAAAATGGCGTTTCATTACATTCAACGCTGGTTTTATGCCATACTGCGTCCTTAACAAGTGAAAGTGTTAAGTATGGTAATTACACTTGGGTAATTACTGTCAACAGTTGTCTCACCTTGACTATGTACTTTGTTTCACTGGTGTATAACCTCTTATAGAGGCACATCTCCATAACTGTTCTCCTCTTGGGCTTCACAATGGTTTTCGGTACACTCCAGCCATGCCACCAGCCAATACAACTTCCTGGCTATCTGACAATGTATTATGGGTACTTGAGAGGGCTTGATCGCTGCTTACATCATCAGTGCTTTGTCCCTGCACATATAATATTTGCTGCTTGCCTTCATGCCAACTGTATCAAATAAAATCCATGTGATAGGACAATTAAAGAGCAGAACTTCTCACTAAAGGTTAAGCGAGTTTGTCCAATCAGGGAAACCCACAGTCAACCTTGCCTCTGCTAGGCTCCTTTTCCTTTGGCCAAAGATGACATCATTTATGTGACATCATAGTTGACTCACATCTTCACAATCGGGGACATTCCAGTAGGAACCAGGGCCAGGCCAACAAAAGAAAATCATTACAGTGTATATCCAAACTCTACCTGACTATAAATGCTCTACAAAATTAATTGATACTAAATCAGTCCAAAACACAGACATGTATGTGGAAAAACTCATACTGCATGAGGTTATGTTATTAGAGACTGGTGACTCGTAACATGCTCAAATTGTATTCCAGGGTTTTATATCTATAAATTTATATTTATAAATTGTATTTATTTTTTTTTTGTTTATTTTTGCTAAAAACTTGTCTATAAAATACTTTTAAGTTAGGCACCAAGTTTAAAATGTTAATTTGTAATATTCACCTTTGGTTTGCCAGGCAACACTTTCAGTTGGATGGACTACAAAGTTCACCTCGGCGGATGATGAAGCAGGGGCATACACAAAGCAAATGGTTCAGGAGATGTCAGATACCCTTGAGAAGAATAACATCACTCAGCCCATCACATTTCCAATTCGAGCTGCTTTTATTGGGCGGTCATTGGTGTCACTTGAGTGGTTGGTGGACACTGTAAGTTATCCACACATTTTTTTCATACAGAATTGGTGACTAATTGATTAAGCCATAGACAAAAACAGTAGCTGCAGATAATATACTATTGCATTATTCATATAATGCTTTGCATCAACTTATTATGTTGAGTAATTTCTTTACATGTTAATCCTCAAAATGCACTATCATCAATACTGTCACCTTGCATGTGTGCAACAAAAATATAAATGATTTGTTTTTTATGAAATGGTAGATCTGTATTCAAAAGAATGCAAAATATACAAATTTATCAACTTATTTTGGCCCGGCCAGTGGTCAACACTCCTGGCATATATTTATATATTCTTTCATATAAAATATATATAATAAGGCATATATATGTATATATGTGTGTGTGTGTGTGTGTGTGTGTGTGTGTGTGTGTGTATATATATATATATATATATATATATATATATATATATATATATATATATATATATATATACTGTATATATATATATAATATAATAGTAGTAAGAGAGCCGGTCGGCCGATCGGATAGCACGCTGGACTTGTGATCCTGTGGTCCCGGGTTCGATCTCGGGCGCCGGCGAGAAACAATGGGCAGAGTTCCTTTCACCCTATGCCCCTGTTACCTAGGAGTAAAATAGGTACCTGGGTGTTAGTCAGCTGTCACGGGCTGCTTCCTGGGGGTGGAGGCCTGGTCGAGGACCGAGCTGCGGGGACACTAAAGCCCCAAAATCATCTCAAGATAACCTCAAGATAGTAAACAGGATACCAAAATGAATATATACAGTGAAAATTTTCATGTTGGCCCAGGTAAGTGTGACAATCTGGTGATGTATAATGATGGGGGACTAGGAACTTAAGTCCATCTGATTCCAAATAATGTTTTGACATGATTGCTGGGAGACACCAGCTATGTGAACCGTACAAATAACATTGAATTTCAAATATTGACACAAAATATAAATACTGAAGTCATAAAATGATGACTATATGGCACTAGAATATCAATACCTGAAGTTTATGTGAACTTTTTCACTTTTCTGGGGGGAGCCCCGTCGGCTCTCCGGAGCTATCCAGGCTGAATGGATATGTATAACTTTCTGGTATCATTTAAAGTGCATGGAGTTCTTGCCTACCGGGGACCACGAGCCAGAACTTGGCCCCCCTCAGAGAGGCACCAGGAGCAATGGCCTATAGAAACCCTCCCTGTGGTTGGGAGCATTCTATATCTGCCATCGACCGGAATAGGCACCCAGAAAGGTAGACACCCCGAAACAAACCTCAATTCTGGTGAAAATATTTCAACCAAAAGCCGGACGAGTGGACAGAACTCCCCAAACAAAAGTAGCAAACTAGCATGACTTCATCACGGCGCTGCGCCGCCATCTGCGCAACTCCCCCTCCTCCCCTGGAGGGGGATGGGGGAGCCCCAGACCCTCCATGCCGGCAATCCAACCAGCAGTTCTTGGCTGATGTGATTACTGGCCGGTCGGGTGCCTCTGACTCCAGTTTTGTTTGTTCTGTGCCTTGTGGTGTGGGCTGTCTCTACCAGTGATGCCTGAGCTAGGAGACATATTCCATGGTACTCGGGCTGCGTGCGCCTAGGGTTCTCTTCCTTAGATGCCCTATAAGTACTGCCCTTGGGGCTTGGGGCTTCCTTCCACAAGTCACCTTGGGATCTACCTCCGCTGTGTCTTTTACTGCTCAGTACTTGGCTATCCTTGGGGTCAGCTGGGGTTTTGTTGCCCTTGTTTGTCTCTGGGGTAGGAGGTAGTTTTCGTCACTGGTAGGGGTGCAGCAGCACAACAGATGTCCTGGTGAACTTGGAGGTCTATATTTGTACTGCTTTTGCTGCGAAGACCTTCGTTGTTGCCGTCCTTTTTGACCTGGAAAAGGCTTATGACACCACTTGGCGATATCATATTCTATCCCAGCTTCATTCTTTTGGCCTTCGTGGTCATCTCCCTCTCTTTCTCCGCAGCTTCCTCTCTCGTCGTTCCTTTCGGGTGAGGCTTGGTACCGCTCTCTCTTCTTTTCAGCAATACGAAGGTGTGCCCCAGGGTAGTGTTCTGAGCACTACTCTTTTTCTGGTTGCCCTCAATGGTCTTCTTTCCTCTCTTCCTTCAGGCATCTTCTCCGCTCTCTATGTCGATGATCTTACTCTTTGCTGTCGAGGTGATGATTCGCCTCTCCTTCAACGCCGGCTTCAACTAGCGATTGATGCCGTGTCGTCTTGGGCCACCAATCATGGCTTCAAGTTCTCTACTACGAAGACTTGTGCCATGACTTTTACTCGGAAACGGGTCGTTCTTCGTCCCTCTTTGTCACTTTATGGTCATCCCCTTGAGTACAAAGATTCCGCGAAGCTTTTGGGGTTATTCTTTGACACTCGTTTGTCTTGGTCTTCCCATATCTCTTACCTCCATGTTGAGTGCTCTAAGGCCCTTACCCTCCTTCGGGTATTGTCCCATACTTCTTGGGGAGCGGATAGGCGCACTCTCCTTGCTTTACATTCCTCTCTTGTCCTGTCTAAGCTCGATTATGGTTGCCCTGCTTACTCGTCTGCTTCTCCTACTCTTCGCCGTCTTGATGCTTTGCACCATACTGGGTTGCGCCTCAATTCTGGTGCCTTTTGTTCGACTCCCGTCTTCAGCTTGTATGTTGACACTGGCTTCCTATCTCTCCAGGACCGCTGTGATCGCTACTGTCGTTATGTGATCGTTACTATCTTGCGCGGTCCTTGCAACATCCTTCCTCTCGCCTCTGTCGTGCTTTAACTTTTACCCCTCCTGCGGTTCCTGTTCCTTTTCACCACCTCCCTCTTTCTGTCCAGTTATCTCGCATACAGGATTCTCTTTCCGTTTGTATTTCTACTATTTCTCCTCGTGTTGTTCCTTCTTTGCCCCTGTGGAGAGTCCCCCTTCCGCAGTTTTGTACATCCTTGACCCGCATCACTAAAGCTTTTACCCCTCGTATGGTTCTAAAACACCTTTTCCTTGAGCGTTTTTCTTTTCACTCCCATTCCGTTTCTGTCTTCACCGATGGGTCTAAGTCTACAGATGGTGTTGGCTACTCTGTTGTTTTTCCTGATCACACTTAAATGTGTCGCTTACCTCCGGAGACTAGCATCTTCACAGCGAAGCTTTATGCTATTCTCTATGCTCTTCGTCTCCTCTCGTCAATCTTCCTTTGTAGTTGTTGTTGACTCGTAGTGGCCTCATGGCTCTCGGGTCCTTTAATCCGGTTCATCCAGTTAATTCATCCGGTTAACTCATATTTTGGGAGTTTATGACTAATTATGCCTGCTCGTAAGGAGCCCTCTGTTTCGTGTGTCTGTTTACGAGGTGTGTGTATGTGACCAGCTGCCTCCCTCCTCTGTTTCAATGTTTTGTTCCAATAATATTCTCTCAATATTATGAGTTTAATTTAAGTTTTTAGGGGAAGCAAGCTGTACTTTACTGCTAACTATATTATATCCAATCCAAGTGCATCCTTTTTTTCTTAAGTTTGAACACTAGACTATGGTTTAAAAGAATAATTAGAGTATAATATTTGCATGTTGTTGATGACATCACGGAGTCACCCATTCTCTGATTTTTTATGGGTAACTGTATTATGTTGACGTGTGTGTCGGATTTCCGACAACCAAGGCTGGCATACGCAGCATGAGCTCACAGCACTGCTGTTCAGCTTGTGACCACAGCATCGCCTAAATAATGAACAAATATATATGCAACTGGTATTATTTAGTGCTGATAGTATTACAGAAGACCCCTGACTGTGATAAAAAATGACTAGGTTTCTGATAATAGCAGGAAATATCCACTCAATTTAACGGCCTCTTTTATACCGATCTGCCAGTAATAACGACCGGTTTGGGAGACCGGTATCTGGAGCCTCGTGTAGCGGTCTGGCAGTCGATACTACCGACAGTCGGTATTGGGTTTGTTGTGGCATCGGCGTCCCCTCACATGGCAACCAGGCCACCGACCTCGATCTTCCAGTCGTATATTACATCTTAATTTTCTTTTAAAATGATTCAGTTTAATGAAGAAAATTCTAAAATATTATTAATAATATATTTTGAAAAAGTTGTTATTAAGCAAAAGTCTTTATTTTCTTATTAAATAACTTTTATAGTATAGGCACTCTGTACTTTTTTTCCCACGGACCTAGAATGCACTGTGCCGGGCCATGTGTTCCCATTGTTTACTGTGAACTTGCGCGGCTAGCTTCATTTGTGAAGGACATTATGGTTAATTGGGATCTTCCTTTTAATTTACAAAATGCCAAAAGTTACCCAAAGGAAGCACCTGACGGTTGCACAAAAGCTGGAGTTAATTAAGAAACTTGATAAAGGATATTCTCATGCACTAGCAGCAGCAGAGTTTAACATCAGGAAAAGTACAGTAAGTGACATCAAGAAACAGAAGGATACTCTATTAAAATATGTGAGCACAACAGAGTGTGCTACTTCTGGTGCTTCATGTTCGAGAAAAACAGTAAAGTCTGGTCAGTATCCACAGTTGGATGCTGCAGTGTATAAGTGGTTTATTCAGCACAGCACAATTGGCATGGCAATATGATTTGAAGAGCTTAAAGTTGCAGCAAGTAAACTTGTCATTCAATTAGGTATAAAAGATTTCAATGCAAGTTACGGGTGGGTTGGAAGATTTAAGGCTCGGCATAACATTTCAAACACCAAAAAAATTTCTGGTTAGGCGTCAAGTGCTGATCCCACTAATGTTGATTCATTCAAGGCTAAATTAAACAAGTACATTATCAGTAATAATTTAAGCAAATATCAAGTATATAATGCTGACGAGACTGGGTTTATGTGTCGAGCTGTACCAAGTACAGTGGGGCCTCGACTTTACGATGGTAATCCGTTCCCAGAGACGGATCATAAGTCGAAATATCGTAAGTCGAAGCGATTTTTCCCATAAGAAATAAAGGAAATTGAATTAATCCGTTCCCCACCCTCCAAAATATTAACTTACAAATAC